GCACAGGAGGACAGCGGGTGCCACGGTTACTCTACAGAGACACCCAGGGCAAGGAACAGCAGGCAGAGAGAGGGGCTGGTTAGAGAACAGCATGGTCCCTGGAACAGCCAGCAGCATATTCGGGAGGGCATGAGGCTGCAAAGATGGAGCACGGCCCCTGTCTGCCTCATGGGCAGCTCTCGAGCAGTGCATGAACCAGGGGACGAGGGCAAGGACTCATCCACAGCCATGGGCTGGGCTGACGCTGCTCACAGGGCCACGTGCTGTTGTCCATGGGAGGGAGAATCCCTCAGCCCTGTTCTCAGTCCCAACCCTAATCCCAGCCCCAATAGCACTCCCAACCTGAGTCCTGCCTGGGAGCAGCACTGAACCCACAGCCACAGGAGGAGCTGCCACCTGCTTCCAGTCCCCAGGGCCAGAGCAGCCTGGCTGAGCTCCGCAGCTCTCACTGGAGTCAGGACCTGGACTGACCCAACCCTGGGGACTCAGCTGAGAAATCAGGTGTATTTTTCAGAGACTGCAAGCCAGTGCGGGCCAGCCACCCCGCAAGACCAGAGGTGTCCCCTCCTCAGGGACCTCCAGGCAGGCTGAGTCCTGCACCAACCAAAGGACTTGGGCATCTGCGCTTCCCAAGCTGCTGGTGATGAGTCGCTCCCCAGTGTTTTGCTGCATTGTGTGGAGGAGTCCCAGAATTGCACGGGGTACTGGAAAACCTTTCAGCAGCCTGTCCTGCTGGGGGGATACAGGACTCAGCCCGGCAGAGACATGTCAAGCTGGAGCCAGGATGATGCTTTAGCTCAGTGTGTACCAGCCATGCACCCATCCACAGTGTCACTGATACAGCGAGGGCTGTCGGGGCTGGCTGGGGAGCCAGCACCCGTTCATTGGGAGTAGCTGGGGCTGCCCATACCGGTCCCAGCACTGAGCAAGCCCACAGCACATGCATGCAAGGCATTTTGACATTTTTTTTTGAGTCTATGGGCAATGAGGCTGCAAATCCAACCAGTGTTCCCATTGATAGAGGAGAAAATGAAAGAGGTGTGATAAACCAAAGTGTAACTGAGGGCAGCTCCTGCTGAGCCAGTGGCTTTGCATCTACACCCTGTGGGTACAAGCTACCCTGATGCACTTGAGCCTCAGCTTAAAGCCCAGAGCTTTTCCATTTACTGGCACCAAAGGACTGGAAGGACCCAGTGTATCCAAGGCTATAATCCCTCTCCTGGCAAGGACACTTGCCTGGAAGGAAGATCAAACTGAAGCACAAATCTTCATTCTTGTCTTGCTTTCTAAAACCTTTTCCCTCTCCGGTTTCCCAGGGCAGCGTCTCTGCAATGACAGCCCGAGGGGGGCTCCCATGGGCAGGGATCAGCTCCCGGTTGCCTGGGCACCAAAGAAGCCAGGAAATAGGCGGCTGCTCCGGAAAAGCCCCACCAGTTTCTTCTGGCTGTCTTGCCAGGAGCCCTCTCGTGATGGGGCAGAGGGTGGGGAGGCGTCCGGCCACAGGGTGCTTGCAGCTCACAGGGCAGGTGTTGCAGCGAGGAGCCACCGTGGTCTGGCAGGTGTCCTGTGCCGTTAGCTCCCGTGGCTGTGACATGGTGCCTGGGGAGCTGCTTCCCCAAGCTCATGGTATGAGGCTGAGGGACCTGCTGGCAGAGCACCCTTTCCCCGTGCCATGGCCCCAAGTGTGCTGGCATGCGGAGCCCTGGGCCCATCTCAGTGCAGCTGTGGGCTCACCTTTCCCTAAACCTGTGGGACAGGGTGTGTGGGCAGGAGGGAAGCACAAGACATGAAAGGAGGCAGCCTTGCTTACGAGGCTGATCCCCATCCTCAGCATGAGGGAGGGGATGATGGTGGGGTGGGGACAGAGCTGTCAGGATGGAGGTGGAAATTATGTTCTGCTTGGAATAAAGCAGGCAACTATTTGTCACTTTTCTTAAAACTGGCCAATGCTCCAATCACAAGTGAGAAACCACATTTTGAATGACCTCAGCTTACCACCATGACCACCAGCCCCATGGCCAGTGCCAGGGAGTAGCCAAGTGACATGGAGGTTCTCGGGGCAGGAGGGTTACTGCAACAGCCCCATGCATCAGGCAGCCCACGGCCACCACTGCAGCTCCCCGCAGAGCCACAGCAAGGAGGGGCTCCCCTGTGGGATGCCCGAACACCCAGGCTACCCCTGCTGAGCCTCTGCTGGAGCATCAGAGGGGCTCTGAATAAGCAGGGGGCTGTTAGGGTCAGGTGTGTGTGACTCCCTGCTGGGGTTGCTGCTCAGCTTCCCAATGTCTGGAGGTGAGCAGGACCATGGGGCCACTGCAAACGTCCCCCTGTGAGCAGCAGTGGGCAGCAGGACAGGCAACAGGGCTTGGGGGGGTGAGTAGGGATGCTTGTGGTCATGCCTCCTCCTCCTGGGGTGAGCACAAGCACTGCAATACACTTCCGCCCAAAACCCACACCACATTCTGACCCGAAGCAGTCTCTTATTCCCCAATTATCTACATTTAATACAGCTTCATGGAGGATTTTTCCCCTTGAAGGTCCAAACAAGACCTGTTTCTCTATTCTCAGCTATTGCATTGATCTGTGAGGAGAATTCAAAGAACCTGGAGGGACATGGTTAATCTCTCCATTAGCTCTCCTATGCAGTGAATTTGCTCTTTTCCCATTACTGTTGCATGGTGAAACTCTCTGCCCTGAGCTGCCCTTGAGTCCCTAGAGGTGTTAGAGACAAAACTAACATTTTAGGAGGACTTGAGCACCAGGAGGGCTCTGTGAATTCACCGCCCTGCCACTGAGTCACAGTAGCTAGTTCAGGAGGTAAGAGCACCTCTGTTAGGGCTTAAGTCACCTTGCCATCACCATCCTGCAGCTGTCCGGCAGCGTGCCTCAGCCCAGTGAGGCGATGCTGCTCCAGCAGCCCTTTCCTGAGCTCTGGGAAGGAAGGCAGGAAGGTGTCCATTCAGCCCAATCCCACTTTGTACTGAGCAAGATCATTTTGCTTCCCTCTGATGCCTGCAGATGGTTGTGAGGACCAAAGAGGTCCTTGCAGACACTTGCAGAGGCATAATCACATCCCTCGATGCTGGTGCAGGAGCCCCAGGGTGACTGCTCCTTCAAATCTTTGGCATCAAAGTATGACTGCTTGATCCAAGACCTTGCACTGGGAACTCCACCTGAGGGAAAGGAGGAATCTGTTCTTCTTTGGCAGGACTTTAATAAAAACTGGAGTCTCAATGCAGGCTGGGGCTCCCTGCTCACCTCCCCATGAGGTTGGGGATAGCCAGCACAGCTGTCCTGCAGCATCCCATCCCCTCCCTGTGCCACTGGCATTCTGGGGATCATCATTTTAATATAAACACCACCACCACCATGGCTTAATTTCCAATCAAACAGAGTAGGACAGTCAGAAATGCAACCACATCTTAAAAACATCTCCCTCCCTCTTTTAGAGTTTTTTTTTCTCAAATTACTCAAAACTCAAAAGTGGGAGTCAGACAACCCAAAATCCTAACGTTTAAATAAAGTTTGTGAACTAGAGATTTTTGAACAGTTTTTGAACATAACTTGAATGCTGGACTTTTATTTGTCTTTCGGGGAGAACTGGGACTTCTGAGCTCATCATGGGATGTCACCAGCTGCAATCTGAGAAAATCATGTGCTGTGAAGCTCTCAGAAAGCCCTTGAGAGCCTCATTCATTTCCTCTTCCTCTGTATGCTACAAAACAGTATGATTTATGAGCAGCTGGATGCTCCTAAGGATGCACAGGGATGTCTCCAGCTGCAGATGGACCGTCAAATGCTGCAGGTTACCTGTTCCTGCCCCAAAACAGAAACATCTATGTGAGTCTTCTTCAGGCCACTTCAGCTGGCATAGTGCAACCCTCTGAAAAATTAAAAGGGAGTTGCTTGTGCATAAAGCGGGTCAGGGACTGCTCCACATCTCCTGGCCATCCTCCATGGCACAGCACCTCGCTCATCTCTGGGAGTATCCTGCTGGTGGTAGGGTCTCCACTCCAGCACAGGGTCCAGCCTCCCTCCTTCACTAACACTTGCAAAATATTTTGAAGAAACACAGTCCCATAGAGATGTTACGTGCTGCAGAACAGAAGAGCAAGCAGGACACACGCCTGATGTGGCACCAGTTAAACATACACCCCTGAGGCTGAACCAGGTTACAGAGGTGATGGAGTCACTGGGAGGGGGAAGAAGAGGGAAAATAGCTGTGTCCTGGGATGATCTCTGAGGCCTTCAGGGATCCAAATGCTTAACTCAAAGCCACCACCTGGCTCTTTTAAGATACATTTGTGCTTTGTAACTGAGACAAGAGGAAAAGAAAAACACACCCAGGTTCATTTGTGGGAAGCTGGCAGTGTGACTGCCAGGTGATCTTCTGTGCCTGCAGGGGTGGGGACGTGCTCAGGAAGGGCAATGGGAAGGATACTTCTTCCACCTTCAGTTTCACTCCTGCTCTCAGGTTTCAGCTGGTGACTTAGATGAAACTGCTGAATACAATTTTTACAGCTTCAGCTTGATTTTGCTTTTTTGTGGGGTGAAATAGCAGTCATAGCTTCACATGTTGCTGACAGGAGCTGCAAGAAGACACTACGCCATGGGGAAAATCTTTCTTTGCTGGAATTATTTTTTCATCTCTAAGTCCCTGGGCAGGGCTGAAGTCAAAACCTCAGCACATAAAAATAACGTTTTGCATGAATGTGAAATTTGACAGAGACTGGGGGTGCTGACGGCTGGCCAGAGGGGCACTCGGCAGTCAGCAGCTGCTCTTCTCCTTTCCAACAAGCGGCCAGTGAAGTCCAGCTCCTGAAACACACCCTGAGCTGAGCGTTGGAGGCATTGCCAGGGCTGAGAGGGCTGCAACCGGCCCACGAGTGTGTGAAGCTGCTGTCAGGGCCGAAATGATCTGGCCTGGTGTGCATCAACCAGACAGGACCTGGGCAGAGGCTGGTGTGGATGGGCAACCACATCCCACTCCCAGTGCTTACCCCCTCTGCTCCAGCCTGTCCCCTTCCTGCCGGGAGGACATCGTATCCTTGGGGCGTGCATTGGGTTTATGTGGCAAGGCTTTGGTAGTGGGGGGCTGCAGGGGTAGCTGCTGAGAGAAGACACCAGGAGCTGCTCCCATGCGGGACGCAGCCAACCCCAGCTGGCTCCAAGGTGAATCCACCACTGCTCAAAGCCAAGCCCATCAGCAAAGAGAGTGGTTCCTCTGTGATAACGTATTTAAGAAAGGGTTAAAAACACTGCGCAGCAGCCAGAGAGAGGAGTGAGAAGATGTGAAAGAAACAGTTCTGCAGACACCAGGGTCAGTGAAAGGAGGGGGAGGAGGTGCTCCAGGCGCCAGAGCAGATTCCCCTGCAGCCGTGGGGAAGACCATGGTGAGGCAGCCGTGCCCTGCAGCCCGTGGAGGTCCCCATGAAGCAGGTGTCCACCTGCAGCCCAGGGAGGATACCACACCTTCGCCTTCTGTGGCAGGAGCCTGCTCAGCCTCTGGGGGCTGGTTTGAGAGCCAGACTGCTGCCAGGAGCCTGCCCGCCTGCCATTGCATCCTGCCCCCACATTGTCACAGAGCCTGGCATGTGCCTTGCTAAATGATTCAGCTTCCCTTTCCAACATCCCACATGTGCCTCTCTTTGGAAGCGAGCTCTGGGATTGGCACTTTCAGTTCTCCTGTGGTTATGAGGGTGCCTGACTGCAGCAGGACTCCCACAAACCGAGGCCAAGCACAGCTGCCTCATCCTGGCCAGTGCCAGCCAGAGGCACGTGGGTCCGAGATGGAGAGCCTGAGCCCTGCACCAGGCTGCAGATGCAGCTCAGGATCCTCTCGTCACCCTGCCACAACCATTGCGCCTGTGAGGCGGGAGGGCAGCTTGGAGGGGAGAGGATGGATGCTGGGTCCCATGGCTTCAGCAGGGGGTGTCTGCGAGAAGCCACGTTTCCAGTGTCTCGAAGGACTGGGGTCCCTCCCCCGGGAGTCACCAGGCAGCTTGTCATGAGGAGCTCACCTGTGAACCAGGCACTTGCTTAGACCCTTGGCAGTGAGTTTAAGCTTTCAAATGAGATCTTTACAGGTACAAGTTTCACTGGTTTAAAAACTAACCATTTCAGGGTCCAGCTGGAGCCTGTGCCAGCTGTACTCATGGCTGGTACACACCTCTCTGAGCAGATAGGCCTAGGAGCACCAGCAGTAACACAGCTACGCTGTCCCCACCATCCCCTCCTGCCACCCAGCGGTGTCCAGGGATGAGGAATATGACAACAAGCATGTGATACTTCCCTTGAGCCCTCTCCCCGTCTCCAGCTATTTTCAGCTCAGGGGATTTCCTGAGCCATGTTTTCCTGATTTCTCTGTATTTACACCCTTCAGTAAATCCCTCCTCTTCGAATTTGACAGAAAACTCCCTTTAGGCATAGGCAAACCTCCAGCACAAGCACCATCCCTCAACAAGGAGCTCCTGCAACTCCAGCATAGACAACTGCCTACTTCAGGCTGGGTTGAATCTGGCTCCCACCTTCACTTCATTCATGTGCTGGAAAAGCTGGTGGCTCCATCCCTGTCCAGCCTCTCCAGGATAGTCCTGAGTTTCCAGACCCTTGGTTGTATCTTCTCTGGCTGGAGGGTCTTTCCCACCAGAGTTTCTCAGGGACCCTGTGACCACCATGATGCCTGCAGGCAGAGCTCATCCATTCCTGATGCCCCTTGTGCGCCCACTGCTCCCCATGCACCACCCTGGGCGTGTTCCAGGGGAGCAGGATCAAAACCTTGCAGTCCTTGCTGCTGCACTGACTGTACCCCACAGCCAGCTCCCACCCTGCATCCCACCCAGGGGCAAGCAGGACATTTGCTGTGGGACAGAGGTACAGGCTGGTTCAGACCTCTTGGATTTTTCCCTCCAGTGATGTATTTTCCATTGCATTTAAAAATAAAGTCCCAGCAATAAAAGCTCCAGCTAATTTTATACCCAGACTGTTTTTCTCAGGCTCTTTCAGGACGACATGCCTCTCCCCGCCTCGTGGTGGGGGCTCGCCCCACAGCACAGACAATGCTCATGCAGCTGGGGGGCTGTCACACGTGGACAGGGGTGCTTGGATGGATCTGGGGTGCAGGGGTGTGTTGGAGTGGAGGATGTCAAGCCCTGACAGAGCTTGTTGCCCATGGAGGAGCTCCTTCCTCTTTGCCTTGTTGGGGAGCCAGGAACTGAGTGGGGAAGGTGAGGGGGCTCGGTGTGTGTGGCTGGGAGGACAGTTTGGTGTGATGTGAGCGTGGTCACAGTGTGAGCACATACATGGCGTGAGCACGGACATAGTGTGAGCACAGACACGGTGTGAGCATGGACAGGGTCTGAGCATGGACAGGGTGTGAGCATGGACACAGTGTGAGCACAGACACGGTGTGAGCGTGGACATGGTCTGAGCACAGACATGGTGTGAGCACGGACACAGTGTGAGCATGGACAGGGTGTGAGCATGGACAGGGTGTGCGTGGCTGCAGGACAGCCTGGCACAGCTGGAGCATGCACGCTTGCAGCATGCTGCTGTGCTGTGCCTGCGCTTGCGTGTGTGCCCTTGGCAGGGGGTTTCTCCAGCAGTGCCTGAATCCCTGAGCATTCACCTCGAGCAGCACCATGAACCCTGGCACACTCCTCTCTGCACCAATGTCTCCCCGTGGCGGCCCCCCATCCGCCTGTCGTTTGGGGGTGTTTGTTACCATGCTCACGGGCTGGGCTGGAGCAGCCCAGAGGCTCTCAAGTGCTGCAGTGGTCTGCGGTGCCATGCACATGGCCAGGCCGGGTGGCTGTCACAGCCTGACACCAGCACATGTCAGGGACAGAGAAGGCCACCTCCTGGCCCTGCAGCTGGGCTGGCAGCTGGAGGGATGGCAAAATCTGCCCTGGCCCTGCAGACATCACCCTGCAAGCGAGTGCCTCCAGCCAGCATGGCTCCTGTGGTTGCAGCAGAGGGAGCTGGGTGCCAGCCCAGTTTGTGAGGGGTAGGAGGGGCCTGGGCCATTGGAGATCTGGACAGAGAACCTGGGAGAACAGATCCTGCCCTGCAGACCCACATCCCAAGCCTGACACACAAACATCTTGTGGGGCGAGAGCCACTGATCCAACCGATTGGAGGAAAAGCAGCTCACAGCCCTGGGAAAATGGTGAAAATCCCTGGAAAAGCCTCGGGGAGCAGAGCCGGGCCCCAGGGTAGCACGGGCAGGTGGCCTTTAAGCTCCTGCTGTCTCCAGGTCACAGTGCAGCCATGGTGGAGCCAGACCCCACCCCAGACACTGCCAGCAGCACCGTCCTGGGAGCAACCAGGGCATTTCTGTCCGTGTCAGATCCTGCCGGGTGACCTGCTCCCAACCTCACAACCCTAACGGCTCCAACGGCTTTGACTTTTTCTTAATGAAATAAAGTTTTGCAATATTTAGGTTTTCACAGCTTCTTTGGTTTTGCAAGACTGGGCTTCCACTAAAGGCAGGGGTTGCAGGGGAAAGCTGAGCAATGAGAGTGATGAAGGCTGAGGACCCTGGAGAGAAATAAACCTCTCCTAAAAGTATTGTTTACAAAAGCTGCTCTTTTTTTTTTTTTTTTTTTTTTTTTTTTTTTTTTTCATGATTTTAGAAGGGCCGGGGAGATTTATGACTTTGTGGGAGCTGGCAGCGGTGCAACAGCATGCTCATCAGAGGAAAATGGGAAAAATGGCTGGACTGGAAAAATACCCTTAGGATTTCAAACAGAAAAGCAAAGTGAGAACTGACAAGTCCAGGTGTCCTGGGTGGTGCAGAGCACAGAAAGTTGTGAGGATGAAGCTGTCCCTGCAGACTCCACCAAGAACCCCACCAGAATCAGCCAAGGGCCTCCGGCCGCCCTGGCCACAGGGATGTCCCTCCTGGGGGCAGCAGCCCTGCTGCAAGGGCAGGGATGCTACTGGGCTCCTGGGCTCACCCCTCTCCGTGGGACGAGCTTAGCAGCCTGGCACAGAGCTGCAGCCACCAGCACTGACCAGCCACACAGCCACCAGTGAGAAAGCATGTACATTGGTGCAGGAGCATCAGCACTAGGATGTCTCACAAGCCCAAATTATTACCTTCCTAAGCCAATAATATGCAATATTTAATGATGAAATCATTAGATTATTTGGTTAATATATTCCTGGCCCATACATCTGAGCTCTCTCCAAGCTGGCTGGGGCACAAGTCTCAGGAGGAAGGGACAGTAGCCCAGCACAGAGGGACATCTGATCTGCCCATGTGACCAGGTCTCTCTGGCACAGTGTTTCAGCTTGAGGACTAATGGAGATTTTGGAAGATTTTAAGATCTAAGGAAGATTCTGGAAACATCCCAAAGAAGGGGATGCTTTCTGCATGACAGAGCTCGTGCCAGGAGTACCAGGACAGGGACACATCTCCATGTGCTATTAGAAATGGCGTTTCCATTTCAACTGGCCCTAATTATAGCAGAAGCAAAAAGGAAAGCATGTTTAAAAAGCCCGAACTGAACGCAAAACAATACAAAATATTTTCATTTCGGGCTAAATAAAACCTTTAAAATAAGGCAATGGCTAGGTTTCTTTATTTAGCCAACAGGACAACAGAGCCTGTTTCTTTCCCAGTTTGACCAGCACTGTTTGGGAGGGATGGACAAAGCTGTTGTGGTCTGAGAGCTGCTCAGTGCCTTTGTAGAAATGAAGCAATGCAAAACCCTGTGCAAGACCCTGTGGACAGAAGTGTTGTTACTGCAGGCAGAGCCTGCCCGCACCTGCGCCACTTGCCACACTCAGCCCTTCTGGCACAACTCATCCAGAACTTCCCTTCACCCCCCTCCAGCTCCACAAAGAACCATATAATCATAGAAAAGTTTGGGTTGGAAGGGACCTCAGAAGATCATCCATCCCCTGCAATGAGCAGGACATCTTCAATTAGATCAGGTTGCTCAGAGCCCATCACATCACTCCTGGGGACCCCAAGCGGTAAATACAGGTAAGTATTTTGCCACGCATGTGTGTGCAACATGAGGGGGAGAGTCACCCCACAGAGCTGGTGTATGCTCCCAGTTCTGTATGGCCGGGTTTCTGTTGCCCTCCACCGCAGACCTGCCCAGTTGCCCGTCCTGTTCAGGTGCCTGCCAGGACCACAGCGGTGTTGGGGGAGGAGTCCAGGGCTGAGACAGAGCGTGTCACTCCTGACACCTCCTTGCAAGCAGGGTGACACATGGCAGCTGCACAGGGTTTGGCAGGGCCTGACCAGCACCAGTCCTGCCACAGCAGCTCCGTCCTCGCTGGCAAAGGTTGACTGGAGGCCATAGCTGGAGCCACAAATCTGGGAGCTCAGGCTAGACATCCTGCTTGCATTGGGCTGTTGACGTATCTGCGCTCTGCCCTGTGGATCCCCACCTGTGGGACACACAGACATGGCCATGGTCATGACCCTTGTCTGTGGGACAGAATCACAGAATCGTTTAGGTTGGAAAAGACCTTTAAGATCGTTGACTCCAACCATTAACCTCACACTGCCAAGTCCACCACTAAGCCACGTCCCTAAGTGCCACGTCCATACGTCTTTTAAATACCTTCAGAGATGGTGACTCAACCTCTTCCCTGGGCAGCCTGTTCCAATGCTTGAAAACCTTTTTGGTGAAGAAATACTACAGGCAGCACAGGCAGCCCTGCCTGCCATCAGGTTCTTGAGGGGAAGATTTGCTAACAATTTTTTTTTTTTTTTTTCACACCAAGAAAGGGCCAGGATGCACCCCTATAGCCACCACATCTCTACCTGGTGTCTTATTGGGCCGGTAGACACCCCCCAGACCTCCTCCAGGAGATGATTTTCAGCATCCAAAAGAAACCAAACCTGCCTGCCTGGACCTGTCTGAGGATGGGGTGCTGCTAGCTGCCTGCAGCAGGGGGGTCCCTCAGACCCTTGCAGGGATGCCTTGGGGTAAATTGGAGGCATGCACTCAGGTGAGGTTCTTTTTATAAAACTAATACTCCTGTAAAATCCCATTTAATTGATAAGGCATAATCATTCCTTATCAAAAAATCATTAAAATCAGCTCAAATTAATATCAAATCAGTAAGAATCAGTAACAGTAGGAGTCACTGCTCCCAGCACCAGCCCCTGAATCCGGCTGCAGGGCAAGTGGGAGTTACATGTCCTCCTGCCCTGTCTCCAGACTGCAGAGAGACATGGGAATGAATGAAGGAAAAATGTTGTTGGTGAAAGGGCGCAGGCACAGAGCAGCCCAGGCTTCCTACCACAGAGACATGCTAATCCGTCTGCTCAACCCTCACCTACAGCTGGGGAAACTGAGGCCAGGCAGTTAAATGGTGTCATTGCATGGTAGGGTTTGATTGTTCCCTGGGACACGGCTGTAGCCCGGCCTCCAGCACAGGCTCTCTGCCCGTACAGACATTTCGGCCCCTTCAGCTGCCCATCCCTGCCCAGGGCATGTCCCCACTTGGCACCATCCCATCTCTGAGGAAAGGCAACCAGAGGTGCCCCAATGGCAGAGCAGGAAGAGAGGGCCACCTCTACCATGTGTGCACCCATTGCCACATCACTGCCCCACAGGAGGGCATTTTGGGTCTAAAGGCACCTGTACAGTGAGTGTGCCCCCCCCCCTCCGTGTGCTGGCCAGGACACCAGCCCCCACTCTGGTCCCTGACAACCATTTCTCCAAGGGTGAGGAAACAGAGTGGACATCTGCCACAGGCAGCTGCGTCTTTATGTAATGCGGGGAGTAGAGTCATGGTTCCCATGAGATGCAGCTGCAGAGCAAAGCAGGAATTTTGGGAGCCCCACCCCTCCTGGTTGCACCCGGTCTCCCTGGGAGGGGACATCTGTCTTCAATCAGCTGTACCTTGGAAGAGGCTTGTCTGGCTGCGCAGGCAGCAGTGAGCACCCATGCCAGGCTGGGGTCGTGGCCGCAGGGAGATATCAAACCTGGCAGGAAGCTGGAGCAGAGCCAGGGTGCTCTACCCGAGTCCCCCTGTGATGGAGATGCTGGGAGCACTAGGCACAGCCCCAGTTCCAGCGTCCCCCAGGAAGGAGCTGGGATGGGGCAACAGAGCCTCACCCACTGCTGCCCTGCTGTATCCCACAGAGGGGAGGGCAGACCCAGTCCCTTCTCACCTGGGAGTAGATCTTTACTCCACTGTGCCTCAAGTGTCAGTGGAACATGGAACTGTTCCATGGCTGCAGCAGGGAGGAGGAATGGGGAGCACTGAGCATGTGCCAGGTAATGCTGAAGGCAGGAGGCAGCTTTATCTCTGCCAAGATGAGAGAAATGCTGGTGAGCTGGAGCCTGGGATACAGGCAGGGCTGAAGGAACAAGGCACAGGGATGGGCTGGGGTGGGAGAACACCTGCAACGAGGGACCAAGGGGATGAGCAAGAGGTAGTGGGTGCCAGCTGGCAGGTCTGAATTGCAGCAGGCACCCCCTTAGCCAAGACAGCCCGGTACACCCAGCTCCCTGTCCTGGTGAGGATCAGCCCCAGGACTCAGGGCCTTCTCCAGCTCAGCACGTGCTTGGTTCATCTCTCAGGGATTTGCAGGACAGTGGGTACAGAGCGTGTGGGCTGACAGCACATTGGGTGCTGGAGCTGCTGCAAACCACCCAGGGCAGCAAGGACCTAATGATGTTTCTAACCATGCAGCAGGGAAGAAAAGAAAAAAGCACAAAACGTATGGGTGAGAGGCCCAAGATGTGTCTGTTCCTGCTGGCATTTGGGATAATTGCTCTGCTGGGAGAGCAGTCCTTCTTTAAGCGGGGTAGCTGGGCACACAGCCCAGCCTCCAAGGGCGTGAGAAGGGCATGGAGCTGGGCAAGAGAAGAGAGAGAAACTACAAATAGACTTGGGTGACTGGATCCTTCCCAAACCACATGGCTGAGGACACAGAGGACAAGGTCCTGCTTCCCCCAGAGCAACTCAGGGGGCAGACACATCCCTGGGTTGAGCCCAGTCAAGGGCCAAGCACACTCTGCTCCTGATAACAGACCAGCGCCAGGCTTCAGCAGTGGGGACCCCCATGCAGTCTCACCCTTGTGCCTGTGATAAATACCCAATGACGTGTTGACTATGTCAAACCAAGGTGCAACACCACAATCTCAAGCATGGAGGGGCTGAGGTGAGGTGGGTCAGCAGGAGCCGCCCTGGCTGGGAACAGCAGAGACCTGCTCCAGCTGTTCCCAGAGTGGACTGCAGCTTCACACAGTGGTTTGCAGATGTGATTAAGAGCCCTGGAGGCACATTCACAGATCTGTGCAAACCCAGTTCTAACGGGAACAGAGACTGAAAAGCAGGGAAGATGTTCACCCAAGTCATCCAGTGCATCTGTTACAGACCTGGCCACAAACCCAGGTCTTGTGGCTTCTGGACTGCCACTGCAGTGGTCCAGTCCCCACAGTTCAGGGTGCCAAAGTGGACACAGTGCAAACACACAGGTTAGGGTCAGGCAGAGAACCAGGGTGACCAGGCTAGGGCTGGCAGCTAGAGGTCAGCCCTGCAGCTCCTGGGGGGGGCCAGTCCCAGCAGGCCCATCACACTCTGGAGCTCCGCTGCTGCACCAGCAGCAGTCCCCCAGGAAGCCAGCCCGGGGCCAGCACTGCCAGGCCACGGCCAGGACGTTCCCCTGGGCTGGGGCAGCGACAGCCGCAGGGCAGGGGGAGAGCTGCCCTGGCTCTGCACAGAGCAGCACTGAGCAGGGACAATGATGCTCTTTCCTTTTAAAGCCCTCATGGGCTCTGCATCCAAGCAAAAGCACGAAATGGGAACTGAAGACAATTATCACCCCTCTCCTTGCTCTGTCTGAGACTCGTGGCTGCCATATGCATCACTTGAAAGAGGCTGCAGCAAAGATCACGCGACTTGGCTCAGATCCCTCTCCTGGCTCTGCTGGGTGCAGGGGGTCTCAGCTCACCCCACAGCCCAGCTGTGCTGAAGGGCATAGGAAGGTACCTCTGGCCAGTGTAGAGCCCCAGGTTGGCCCCGATCAGGCACTGGCACCCTCAGCACAGGGCAGAGGGATGTGCACTGCTTTGTGCTGTGCCAGCGAGGTCCCCTCTGGCTGTCTCCACAGTAACAAGTCACTGCAGAGCACCACGACCACTGCTGCCCACAGTCACAGGGACAGTGGGCTTAAAGTGTAATAAAAGACTGTGAGCTACATCAGCACCACCTGAAGAGCATGACCCCCAGCACAGCTTCTGGAGGAGCAGGCAGATGAAGCTACAAGCACTGGAAGGGGTGCAGGTGGCTTTATGACCCCATCCCACAGCATCAAGAAGAGACTGTGGGGTCCCCAGCCCCAGGGCACAGGGAAGCCCAGAGCAGATGTGAAAGGGCAGGGGAACACAGCCTGGAGCAGAGACCTCCTGGGATCCTCGTGCTCAGGCCACAGTTGTGCAACCTCAGCTTACCCCACATCCTGTGGTACAGAACAGTCAGGAACTTCAGTGCTCGTAGCAGTAGATGGAATGATTTAGGCAGAGAAAGACAAATTAAATAGTTCATCCTACTTTATTATTCTACAGACAGGTGACACTCCTCATAAAGAGGGCTGCTTTTAATTAAACCTCAGGCAAAACAGGTACTAGACACCAGAGGTGGCATCATGAAAGAGATGGCAAGTACCAATGCCCAGGGGACAACTAACACCCTACTCCTGCAGACAAGGGACAGGACTAGCTATGGCCTTGCTCCTCCTCCTCCTCCCTCTCCCCGGCACTCTGCTTATCCCCACTCTGACACACGGCAGCAGGCACAAGGGTAGAGCAGGGATTTGTGCCTTGCAGTGACCTTCAGGTCAAGATCAATCTCAGAGGAGCTGTGGATGGGACAGACAGCACTGGACAGATAAAAACAGGCGTGAGAAAGGAATTGGTCTGCACGGGGCAGGGCAGGTCCAGCACCTTCTGCTCATCTCAGTGCACTGTGCCACGGCATCATGCCAGGAAAGTCAGAGCATGAAACAACTCTGGAGAGACAAGTCCTGGCCATGGAGCTACAGAGGACCAGGACTGTGCTACATGGGGATTCACAAGGATCTTCTAGGAAAGTACCATAAATACCAAGTACCAGGCCACAGTGGAAGACATCGTTCAGCTCAAGTATCATCAGAGCTGGGTGGAAAAGAGGAGGTATTCTGAGATGCACCAGTCTAACAGGACCCACACTTAGACCACCACAACCTACCCAAAAGACTTGGGGAGAGGTGTAGTTCACACTTGGGACGTCACCCTGGGGAGCCAGCATCCACCACCAGTACAGGCAAAGATGCCATTTCTCCTCTTGGAGATGTGCAAATGAAAGAGCCCATCAGCCTTGGCTCTGTCACCCACATTCAGCTAAGTACAAAACCTCGTCCTAAAGCCCTCTGTGAAATCAGGCTTGCGTTAGCATCCTCATGTTGTAAGAGATCACCTCTCCTTTGAAAGTCATCATGAAAAAAAATATAAGCCTGGCAATAATAAGAAAACATTTGCCAGGTCAAGCCAATTAAATGGATGTAGAGGTGTCTGCTTCTATCTGCAAACAGCCTGAAACAGCAGCTCAGAGCTACAGGCTACCTCGTTTGGGTCTATGGCTCATTAACTACCAGAGCCTGCAGACATGTAAACAGTGACTATGGCATCACTACCACAAACTGGAAAGAGGGATTATGCCAGGAGGAGCACTAGTGGGCACTGCTCTGGCCCAGTACAGTGTCACTGGCAGGCAGAACTCAGGCAGCAGAGAGGGGCCAGGCATGTCCCACTGGAACTTCAATCTTGTTCTCCAACAGTGAGAAAGGCAGGGGAGAAGCCAGCCTTCAGTGGCCAGGCTTGCCCGGAGGTGCCAGCTGGAATGTTGAAGATGCATCATCTTTTTCTGAGAGCAGCCAAAATTCAGCCTGAGGCCAAGAGCACAGCAGTTCCCCTTGCGAAGGCAGCAGCTGTTTCCTCCAGCACGTTGGGGATCACGGGGTTGGGGGTACAGTCCTTGCAATCTGTTTAGAGACAGAAAAGGAGCAGCTTGAGAGCAGCATGGCTGAGAAGCCCAGCAGCAGAGCGGTATGGGGATGCTCCCCAGGCAGGGTTGGGGAAACGCCTTCCCTCTTTCCTCTTGCAGAGGTGCCACCAGTAGCTCCAGACCTCAAGATACAACACCTGGAGCAACAGGTGCAATGGGTTTTGGGCAAGAGTCCCACGAAACCCCCAGGGAAATTTGAAGACAGGGAGCAGGGAGACAGGCACTAGATGAAGGTGGAGTCCAGCTGGCTTGTTTCATTGTTATTGCGGGCACGAGCCTCAAAGAGCTGTTTGATCAGGGCAGATTTCTCCTGCTCCAGCTGGGTGATGCGTTCGCTCTTGTCAGTAACCTCCTGCATGGGACAGAGGAGGAAAACACTGGCATTTTTCATGCTGTGGGTACTGGGATGTGAAACCCACCAGTGAGCCTGACCCTGGCAGGAGCATCATTGGTGCCCCTTCCCCAGCAGCCCTGCTCACAGACCCCAGCTGCAGTGTCTGCACCCTCTCATGACCTGTATTTGACAGCCTTTTCTCTCTGGCAGAGATGTCCCATCCCCAGCAAGCACCTGGACACAGCTGCATTGCAGAGGGTCTCCAGGTGCAGCCCACATGCCCTTCTCTGGGATGACCAAGGTTGGCCAAGCTGAAGGCACCTTCCAGTGCCTCATATTCCTTCCCCAGCCACATCCCAGCCCATCTCCTCTACCAGCCTCTTTCAAGGGTATCTCCTTCCTCCATACCCCACTCACCTTGGTAAGAAGTCGGTTTTGCTCCTTCAGCATGTTGATGGCTTGCTGGGAGCCTGCTGAGGCTGGGGATGCCACAGGAACCAGCCTGCTCAGAGCTGAGGAGGGGTTTGCTGGCTGCAGAGATGAAGGGAAGTGATAAGACATTGAGCCTCCTTCCCAGTGGCCCTCCCCAACCTTTCTCCAAGACCAGAGCTGTTTCTGTGGCACACAGGGAACTGAGAGAAGCCCAGCACAGGCCATTTCAGGGTCTCCAGCACAGCAGGCAGAGGTGGGAAGCATTCCTGCCAGTGTGCCCAGCTCCTGCCAAGAGCCTGGCAAGATAGGCAGCTCTGAGAGGGCTGACTCAGGACCTCGGAAGGTTGGTTCCCTTATTCACTTGACAATGGCTACACCTTTTGCAGGATCGTCTTTAGTCCCCCAAATGCCTTGAGCATCCTCCAGCTCACCTTGGGACCAGCTGTGCTGTCCTCTTGGCCATCTGTTCCTCATCCCCTATCTTGAAAATAGAGCCAAGTCACCTCCCCAGAGCCTGGGGAAACCCTGGCAGCTCCAATGTGTCAGCCCAGCCACCCACATGAGGTGAAGGACAGGATGGGTCCCAAGCTCACACCAACAATCACAAGGTGCTAAAATGCTGCTCTCACCTTGCTGGCAGTGGAAAGAAGGTCACCCAGGCAGCGGTTCACCTCCTGTAGCTTGGGCACCAGGCGCCCCAGGTGGCTCTGTCCGCCCTCAGGGAGGAATTCCTTTGAGATCTGGAGGAAGAAGAGGCTGGGGGTTACCATGGGGGCAGTTCCAAGTCCAGCTAAGTCCCATCCTGGTTCTCCAGACCCACAGAGCAGCCCCAGATCCTTCCAAGCAGACAGGCACCCCAAGAACAAGCCCCAGACTCACGGCAGTGGTTTTGTTCTTTCCCAGGAGCCTCTGGCGTTCCTGCATGAACTGGATGTGCTGGTGGTACCACTCCCGGGTGCGTTCTACCAGTTCCAGACCCTGCAGCAGGAAATCCTTCTCCTGTTCCAGCTCCTTCATGTGCTTCAGCTGCAGGACAAAGCACACAGAGATGTCACCCGCTCCCCACCAGTGCCTTGTCAAGCCCCTGGTGCTGGTTTCTTCACAAGGCTTGGAGGGATATGGATATGGGCAGGTGTCTCAGACCCTCTCCCCATAAAAAGCCACAGAGGAGTTGGATGATGGCTGCTGCCTGATGCTGCTTCAGGGGAAGAGTTCTCCAGTTTGGGAGAAAACTGAAGCAGATAAAAGACAGTCAGGCCACCTCCACCCACCTGCTCCCCACTGCAGAAGCAGGTTTCTCCACCTCCTATTTATCCAGGAACGAAGCAAGAGCAGGGCCTGCAGCCACTCCCCAAATTCCCCCAAGGCTGAAAGCATCATCCAGCAGCAAACACACAGAGCTTCTGGCAAGCAGCAAGGAGTCAAGCTAAAGTGCAGACTGGAATCTGGGGAAAAACCTACAGTCCTGTTCCCCCAGCCCTCTGCTCCACCTCCCACCCTGAGGCACCTCCGAGCAAAGCATAGCATAACTTTCTGCTGAGTGTCTCTGCCAGTCTTTCAGTTCAAAGATCAGCATGCAGAGACCTTTAGGAGCCTGGAGAGCTGTTACAGGGGTGCCCAGGGCTCCTGACCCCAGAGCACCCTCCTGGAGAAGCAGAGCAGGCTCCTCTGCCAGATTGTGGTACACCCAAAGCTGCTGCAGGGCAGGCAGGGGCTGGAGCCCTGGGGCACATGGGCTCTCTTGCTCCACATTCTTTTCCTGCTGCCCCTCAGCACTGCACTGCCACTGGCAATCACAGAGGTGGCAAGAGAACATCCCTGGAGAACAGAGCGACTGGTGCAGTGACCTGTTCATTGGCCCTCACCCAGTGAGCCCAGGGTTCCTGATCCCCTTCTCCTGAGCCATGCCAGGCTTCTCCCCGACTCCTGTTCCCCTGGCTCTATGCTAAGAGCACAGGGAGCTGCCAGCCGAGCTGCCTCTGTCTTCTCTGCCACAATGCAGCCAGGCCTCCATCGCCCAGACTGGGCTCCAGGAGAGTCTCCTCCAAGCACCAGTGGGACTTCAGTTACCCAGAAGCTGCTGGATGCTCAGGAACCTCTCCTGCTGCTTTGAAGAGCATCTGGAGGGGGGTGATTCAGCTCAGAAGTGACAGATCCCCACCCCGAGGGACAAGTGAGACTAAGCCAACACCTTCTTCAGGCCACCAGAGCTTGCTTCCCCATCCCCCCAGCCCTGAAGCCTCCCAACCACCCCTCACCAGCCACTTCATACACTAGGGCTGCTCTTGCTCCTGCTCCTGGAACTGCTGTTTGCAACTCCACACCCCCCCAGCATGCCTGGATGGATCTATGGACCAGAGGGGACACACCCACAGGGGAAGCGCTATGGTGCTATGCCTGCTGTTGCTGAGGGGAATGAAGAAAGTGCTGTCCATGGCAAGGACCCCACCCAGCTTGGGCCACAGCCTGCAGCCACCTGGCCTGCCTTGGTCCCACTGGGCTTGTTGGCCAGCATGGTGACCAGAGGAAGAGGTAGCATCCCAATGAGCAGTGGGACATGACCAGCTCTGCCAGGTGTGGGGACAGATGGCATCTCACTAAGGACAGGATGCTCTGGGGACGGAGGCAGCTTCTGGAGCAGCACCAGACTTGGCTAGTGCTACCCGAGGCAGAAGGGGAGGGGACAGTGCCATGCCCTGGGCCGCCTACAACCTAAAGCGCTCAGCCTCTCACAGAAGGTCTCATCCCAGCTACCCCCTGTGGCCATGGGGAAATCAGGCTGATGGATGATGGACTGGCTGAAAAACACCAGCTAAGCAGACATCAGCTGTGGTGGTGTGAAGTGTCCTGAGGCTGCAGCACAGCTCCCACACCTCTGCTTTGCTGCTCAGGATGAACCAGTCCTAGTGCATCCCAGGATATGCAGGATGAATATCAAAGCTCCCAGGCCTCTATGAGCTTTAGGCAAATTACAGAATCACAGAATCATCTTGGTTGGAAAAGGCCCTGAAGCTCCTCCAGTCCAACCATGAACCTCACACTGACCGTTCCCAACTCCCCCAGATCCCTCAGTGCTGGGTCAACCCGACTCTTCAACCTCTCCAGGGATGGGGACTCCCCCCTGCCCTGGGCAGCCCATTCCAACGCCCAACAGCCCCTTCTGCACAGAAATCCTTCCTCAGAGCCAGCCTGACCCTGCCCTGGGCAGCTTGAGGCCATTCCCTCTGGGCCTGGCGCTGGCTCCTTGGCTCAAGAGACTCATCCCCCCTCTCTTCACCCTTCTGTCAGGAGTTGCAGAGGGCCAGGAGGTCTCCCCTCAGCCTCCTCTTCTCCAGACTAAACCCCTGCAGTTCCCCCAGCCGCTCCCCAGCAGACCTGTGCTCCAGACCCTGCCCCAGCTCCGTTGCCCTTCTCTGGACATGCTTGAGTCATTCAATGGCCTTTTTGGGGTGAGGGGCCCAAAACTGAACCCACTCATCGAGAGGTGGCCTCACCAGTGCCAAGTCCGGGGGTAAAATCAGCCAAATCACAGCTGAGTGCCTTGGCTCTGTGGGGCCCATTATCTTCCCAGCATCAGGGAGGAGGGGCCAGCACTGCCCTGCCCTGAGATTTGGTCCTTGCTGGACTCCAACCTGCTACAACTGTGTCTACACTCAGAAGGGGGATTAGTACCCAAAGGTTCCCGTCGGGGTGCCAGGGAAGGCTTCTCACCTGTGGGACAGGGACAGACAGCCCTTGTCCAGGGGGAGGAGCACGCGACAGGCAGTACAGCACTTTGGTACATAGGGAAGGGGGAAGAAAGGCTGAGGACCTCCCTCCCACCACCCCCACAACAATCTGGGGAAACAGGGGCAAGGGCAACACAAGCCCAGAGCAAGAGTGCTTGTGGAAGAGCTGGAAACAAACCCAACAGCTCCTCCTCACCAGTACCAGGATCCTGAGCTCATGGCAGCAATGGCCTCCAGCCTGGAACTGCATGCACAGGGGGAAGAGCCTTGCCAGAGAAGGAGAGACCTTCCCTCTCTGAAGCAGCATCTCCCAGCCACCAAAACCCTGAGGGCCAGAGACCCCCAACCCCAGACACACACATCTACATTAATTACTCCTTGCCAGAACCTCTCGGCAGAGACTCCCTCAGCCCAAGAGCACCCCAAGCCCTTTCATGGCTGCAAGCCCAGCAAACTATGTGTACACAAACCACCTCCCCTCAGCCAGGTGTCAGAGGATGTTATGTCCTTCAAGGACAGCGCTAGGCTGATGCTGCTCATGCCAACAGTTAGCCCTGCTGGGCTCAGGAAGCAGGGTGACACCAGTGTGCAAGGGGAAGAGGTGCAGAAGTGACAGTCACAGCCTTGGTAGCAGCTCCGACACTGGCGAGACAAGCTCCAGCTCATCACTCATCCTGCAGGCTGGGTCTTGGCTCCCTTCCCAGGAAAATTTAGCTTGAGGGCAACATGCCCAGGCAACTCCATCATCCCACTTGGGAGCAGTGCAGATCCCTTCACCCAGGCAATCTGATCCAAGCTTCTCCACTCAGGGATGGAGAGAGGGGAGCAGATCCCTCCATCCTGGGCTGCCCAGCTAAATTCAGTGCTGATTTCTCTGCATTACTGGCAAAAACTCTCTCGGGAGTCAAGAGGATTAGCATGCTTGAGCCCTGATCTGCAGAGAACATGTGGCAGGGGACACAGCCCAGCACCACTGCTCATCAGCAGAGAGCATACCTGACCTTTGCTGAAGTGCTTGAATGGCCCAGAGACCCACCTGCTCCTACACCTGCATGTTTGCCTTTCCCTGCCCAAGTTTTTGACCCTGGGGAAGGCACCCATGCAGTCATTGCTAGCTCCATGGGCTGCTCCCACTCCAGAGACAAGAGAACACGCACCTCCTCCCTGTCTGGCATGATTCTGGACAGAAAGCACCTCAGAGTAATGGCAGGACCTCCACGTACATCAACAGAGCTTTGAATCCAAAATACCAGGATCTGCCCGACACCCCACAACTCACATGTGCAGGGTGGGCAGGGGGAGCTACAGCCCAAACAGAGCTGGTGTCAGCACTGAGGGACACCTGCAATCCACCTCCCCCGGGGAGCATGGGCCCCTTTGCTGTAGCCCATGGCAGGGCTGTCCCCTTACCATGCTGAAGTCCACGCCATTGGTGATGGTGTGTCTCCGGTGTTCTGCACGTCCCCTCTGATGCCTCCGAGTGTCTCCAGCTCCTGGATGGCTGCCATCCCCCTGGCACTGCCCAGCAGCCTTAGCGTCACCACCTGTAACAGAGGAAAGCTTGAGGCCACCAGCTGCTTGCAACAAAAACCTCCTCACGGCCACTTGTACGGAACTATCTCCAGGGTGGTCTTGCATATGGACGTGGAAGGGAGCAGCCGAGCAAAGCACAGGCCTGAGTGCCTGCTCATGTCTTTGGGCAGGGAAGGCTTCAGCAACAACTTACTTGCTGTGACAGGCTGGAAAGTGACCTCGGTGGTCACCTTCTGCAAAAAGCAGGCAGCTTCCAGGCAGTATTGTTTCAGTCACAGTGCAGGCAATTAAACCATCAGTGATATTGCCTACCCTCGTCCTAGCCTCATGGAACCCCCAGATCCCGCTCAGGTGTCACAGGCTCTGCCAGGAGCCCCACTCCTGCTGAAGGCAGCTCCTGCTCGGTGATGGGCTTGGCCATGTAGATGTCCCCCCAGGACCCTCTGCTGGGGTCTAAGCATAGAATAAGTCAGGCTGTACGTTTTCCAAAATTTACCTAAAATCCCAATATCTTATCTTGCAAAAGACTGATCTACTACAGACACATGACACTGGTGCAAATCCATGCATAACCTATTTTTGCAGATTAAGTTCATACTGGCAGGTTTTAGGCTGGATCAGACACCTCCTGCCTGTGCTGCCTGTATGCCCAAGCAGGTATTGGCTGGGCACATGCAGCAAAGTCAGTGCAAGCCCCACACTGCCCGCCCTGACAAACTCACCAGAAACACAGCCCTGTGGCCATGGCCAGGCCAGCTCAGATCCCTGCTTCTGTCCAAGCACAGCCCTGCCTTCCCGAACCAGCACCAGGGCAACCACGGTACAGCCAACACCCTCCCCAGACACCTCCGGACAGAAAGCCTGCTGCACCACCCTTCTCGCCCTGGCCCCCTGCCAAGTCCCCGGCAGACCCTTGCCCTGTGCTCACCCTGCTCTCTGCACACAGCTTTCCTCGAAAGTTTCTCTCCCAACCTGCCTTTCAAACAAGAGCAGAGGGAGGTAGGCAAGTGAAGGCAGGCAGTGAGACAGCTGGGGAAAATACCTCTTCAGGACAGCTCCCCACACACCTCCAGCCATTGCCACATCCTCCTCCCGTGGGCTGCGCAGGCACCAAGGGCTGCCAGGGCTGGGACAGGGCACGTGGCATTGCCTGGGCTGGCACATCACTGCCTGCTGCTTTACATGTCCCCTCAGCTGAGCACAAGGACGTGATGGAAGAGGGATATGGTGCAAGAGAGGGCAGGCATGGCCACAGGAGCCACCATTCACCTGGAAGGCCACAGGGTCTGGGAGAGCTGCACCACACTGCAGCTGCCTGTGCTGTGTGTTTGTGCCGGTTCAGCAACAGGCTGGACTCAGGGTCAGCGGGCAGCAGGCAACACTACACAAGCACCTCACTCAAGCCTTTGTGTCACTTTGTGTCACTGGGGAAAGAAGCCACTGTGGCACAGGAAAAATTCTCCTTCTGGTCCATCATGGCGTCCCACTTCTACCAGGAAATGCTCCAGCATAGACAGGTCTCCAGCATGTCAATAAAAGTCTTTGATATCGCCTATTCATCTCTTTTGCCAACTGTCTTTGATTTCATACACCCATATCTACCTGGGAGGGGCTCAGCAAGATGAGTACAACCATGCACATGTTCTCCTAGCAGACCTGTAGCACATCCTACTTGGGAAGCTGAGGAACAGCTCCAAAACCAAGGGTAGCTTCAATAGGCAGAATCCCAAAGCAAAGCTGGGAGCACCCCTGGGAAGAGCTGCAGGGTAGAAACATGTTAAAAAAGTTTTCACTGCTGTTTCTTAGAAGTGTCAGATTGAGCTGAGCTGAACCTGTGATAAGGAGATGCTCAAACAGCTGAGCTCTGTGCACCTGAGCTGACAATGTTGTGGCTAAAATCAGGATCACTGCTAATGAGCTGGGATCAGTTCTTCTTAGGCAAAGAGCAGGACCAGCTCACTAGAGGTGGAAGAGATCCTGCCATGAGATGGGATGGCCTCCTCCCCCCCAGAGCCTCTTTGACTCTGCAGGGCATGAGCCCAGTGTTTGCCAGCCAGAGCAAGTGCCCAGCACAGAGCAGACACCTCATGGTCATTTTACACATTTACATACCTGTCCTTGGCAATGGCCCAGACAATCACAGCTACCTACAAACCACCCCCTCCTTCCTTTTGGGGCCACCATCTCCCCAGGCAGCAGCTAGAGCCAGGCCACCCCAGCAGCAAACGCAAGTGCTGTGCTGGGGAGAAGGCCCAGGGCCACCACAGACCTCCTGGGCAAGGCACTTTCTGCTTTATGTCTTAACTTCCCCAGGTCTCAGCTCTCAGGGGAACCACAAGGGTAAGGATGCCCATCACCGAGACACTTGGAGGCTGCTAGGACAGGCCACCTTGGCACCAGTGGTAGGGAAGTCATCATGGGGACTTCCATGCCCAGTGACTTCTCCAGCACAGGCCTCATCATCCCTGTGCCCAGCAGATGCTGTTGGCTCCCCAGAGACCATGGCTGGCACCCAGCAGCATCTCGCAGGCCATGCAGCACCGCCAGGCTGATGAGAGCTTCTGAGGAGCTGGAAGCCGACTCTGAGCAAGGACTTCTTCAGGAGAACTTCTGATCATACACTAATGGAGGTTAGCAGGCAAGAGCAGACAGAAGTGCTGTCCCACTGGCTCACTTCCCCCCCCTGGACATGCCAGGAGGATCACCTGGCCCCAAACTCTGCCATCTTTCCATGATTTGCATCCAAACCACCTCTGATGCATGCAAATGCCCTGTGGACCAGGAAGCAGCGGTGGGGTGGCACCCTGTGAGCACCTCCTTCACCCAGAACATAGACAGGGAGAGTTTCCTCAAAGTTTTTGCAGTTGATGAGCATTGATACACCATTTTGCTGTACTTGGTTGGGTTCTTACAGAAACCACCTCATGCAGCTAGAGGCTCAGAGCAGCCTTGAGCCCGAACAATATAGTCTGAAGGGAGGCAGGGCTTCCTGGACCCACAGGCAGCTCTCAGCATTCAGTACATTTCTCCACAGCAAGAGCAAGCTGCAACCTGCCATGGCAGTGACCAACTCCCTGCAACCAGTTGAGAACATCTACCCATTCAACCACACCCTGAGAAACCCTCCATGGTGGAAGAGAGCACTGGGCAGTTGTGCAGGATCTGGAGCTAGAAGAGATAGAATAACTCAGAGTTATAACATTCGCTAAGCTGCTGAATCAACCTGAAATTCAGGCCTGTTACCAGAATACAGCCCTGCACTGCAGGAACCTAGCAGCAAGGGCTGAGGCACCAACTCTGCCTGCAGACTCCGGACATCAGTGTAACATCAGCCTGTAATGGAAAGATCCTCAGCAAACAGAAAGTTGTTGTATTCATCTACTCAGCCCTTTCCAGGGCAGAGCTTTCAATTTGCTCTTTACATACCAAGCAAGACTTTTTTTCAGGTTTTTCCAGATTTACACTCCTGACGATAGAAGAACCAGCCTGCTTAATAATATTCCCCTAGATGAAACTCCAGTGATTAGTTTAGAAGCAAAATGGAAAGCAGAGAACCTCAGCCACAGTTAACATTTCTTCTCCACCCAGCAGAAGAAGCGACTGGGAGGGACTGAGTGGGAGGGGAAGGCAAATCAGCTCAACTTTCCCAAGGTAGAGGAAGTCAAGTGTTGCAATAACAAACACCAGCTCCTCACACAGACCTTTGTGTCCGTAGATCTCAAAGCATTTCACAAATCTAGATAAAGAATTATCTACACCATTAAAGTTCAGAAGCCTGGTTTCCTCATAATGTCTCCCCCTGCCTAGCAATAAATCGAGGTGCCAGTGAAACAGTCTTCCCCTTGCCAAGGTCAGGATGTCACCGGGGAGTGGGGGCCCTGGCAGACCCAGCACGGAGACCCCAGGCCCCAAGGAAGGGGCAGAGTCCCCAGGGACCTGCTGACAAGCTCTGCAGAGTCTGGCCACCCAGACAGCACTTGGGGCACATCTCCCTGATGCTTCTTTCCTATTTAATTATTGCTTAATTATTTATGGGTGCAAACAATGCCACGGAATTATCCAAACAAAAAAGGTGGATCAGATTTTGCTAATTTTTTTGTCCAAAATGTGGACGAACTGGTGAAGCCAGCCCTGCTGGGGGGCACACATGCAGGTGCCCTGTGAACACAGCCCTGGCTCCTGGCGACCCCAGGGCCAGCGGCTCTCCGAGATGACCGGCAGCATCAGACGCCCCCCGAGAAAGGTCACCTACAGACTTTGTGCCAGGGGACAACCACGGACACGTTACAGCAATGTCCTTAATTCTTCTTGTCACCGCTATAAACAGACACGCACCCACACAGGGGGAGATGTGAAGAGGAGTGCAAGCCCCAGCCGGGCAGCAGAGCAGCACGCTCGTCCTCCCAGGTTTCCTGCAGCTTGGATCAAAGCCCACCAAAGCCAGAAGTAAAAGCAGCAGTAACTTTTGTGGAGTTTTCCGCCCAGGCCTGCGGGAAGAGCTTGCTGCTACTCTAAGCCCGGAGCGGGAACGGCTCTGCGCTGCCCGAGGACCGGAGCAAGCCGCAGGGTCCCGACCCGCCCTGCGCCGAACTCCGGCAATGGCGCTGCCCGCTCCCCGGGGCTGCCCGCGCCGAGCCGGGCACATCCCGGCCCTCCGGCTCACCTCGGCCGCGGGGCTGGCCCTGCCCCGAGTCCCGCTGCCCGGTGCTCTT